CGTGTGAGTGGGGGCCTGAATTAATTGGGTCAAGTCCAAGGCCGTCATGGAAGCCAAGAACTCCTGAGCTGCCGCCGACGTCTCACCCACTGATGGCAGGTTGAAATCCCCCAAGACCATAAGTCTGGGGGTTCCAACCGCCACCCCGGCTATCACGTCAGCCAGTTCAGGCAGGGCTGTTGATACATAGCAGGGAGCCTCAATAGAAAGTAAGGGATTAACCTTTCCCTGCTTGTTTTTATCCTCTCAAAAACTCCATCTGCTTTCTTTCTTGCTAATTAATGGCTGCTCCCTAATACAGCAGCCAACTTCTGGGTCCAAACCTCAGTATTTCAATGCACAAAGGAAGAATTAAATGTTGTAGCGACAGCTACAAATAAATCTGCTCAGGAGTTTGCAATTATTCCTTTGTTTCATTATGCAAATTGCTTTACCAATTACCATGTTTATGAAAACCTATGCATATCTTATTCAGCTTTAAAAAACCTGCATATATATATATATATCAATCTCATGTAATCTCGCTTTTACATTTTATAAAATTCATTCTATTCTCCCACAGAATCAACATCCCCTAATCCAAAACCTCTAGGCCCGATTAAACTATGGTAGCCAATTGTTCTCGTATTTATCATATGGAACTGCCAATCACTGACCCAAACACTGTTACCCAGGTGTCATCAAGTTGATCTTCTGATGTCAAAGCATCTCCTTGAGTATAGAATGGATCTAGCTGAGCTGGTGACATGGTAGTTTTTCTAGGTTGTGCAAAACTTGCTGGACTAAACACACTTGCCCCTGTCAAAATATAATGAAATGTGCCTTATAAGATCTCCTAGTTAAAGGACGAACTAGGTACTCCAAACTAAAATAAAGAATAGACACAGCTTATTAAACTATGTTACTGATTAATTTTTGAATTCATAATTACCAAATTCACATAGAGTTTGACACTGAAGGAAGAAAAATGGTGATAATAATAATGCAGTGTCTCAAGGCCAGTAAAATAGTTACTTTTGTCAATACTTAAGTTTTATAAAATTTATAATAAACTTTTTTATCCTGATTGCCAGCATTTTACATAAATATAATGGAAAGGAAACAAAGTAACTTAAAAGAGGAAGACTTCTATCAGTGTCAGACATAAAGTAGAGGAGGAATTTTAAAAATATGGTAAAAGTGGGGTTGGTATAATTTCAATAGGAAACATGTATTAGCTCATAAATTGTGTAATGATCCATATACAAATTAAATAGAATACATACTGTTGAAGTTTCCCTTGCAGATAAATTCTTAATTAAATATCAAGAGAAGAAAATAAGTAAATATCGTACCTGTTCCAGGAGTTATTGGCAGAGACCCAACATTTGGACTCTGTATTACAGAAAAAGTGGCCTGCATGAAAGTACAAATATTAGTTAGAAATTGTTTTAGAAGCCAGAAAATAAACTCTTTGAACAGAATGTTTTATTTTAAAATCAGCCAGTACAATTCAACTCAAAAATACATCTGCATGTTGTTTATTGCTTGATAAAAGCAAATAAAATCCCAAGATTGAACTATACAGCAAAATATGCTATACAGGGATTGTTATTTTATAGGCCCTCATATGCAGTTTATGTTTTCTTTGGGGCAATTATGCCTGATCACAGTTGAAGCGCCATACTTCTCTACTGAGCAATAACAGAAGGCAAAACTGAGTAATTTGGGCCAGTATTGACTTAAAATAGGTGATCATTCAATGTATTATAAAATCAAATGAAGTCATCAGTATGGAATAAAATGTTTACTGCGATGTCAACTAGTACAAATAATTTTCCAGCAACATAGGGATTCCAATATAAATGTATGTAACCACTTCTCAGCTATCAGGCTTCTGTCTCTGAAAATACTAATTGCATAAAAATATTACACCTAGCCAAATGTATATCTTAACATACTGTGGCAAACCCAAGATTAACAAAGCTACAATAGCCAGCAAAGTATTATATTCTTCTTTCATCCCTTCCTCTTCCAAAGAGTTTTTGTTTGTGCAATATTAAATACCCTCATGCACTTAATGTTGGTGCCTTCAAACCCAAACTATGCTCTCTGGCTGCATATAGAGATGTTTTCTGAGGATGATATATCTGGGCTCGGTATAGCAAGTTCTGCCACTAATTATATGTCTTTTTCCAAGATTCAGTGAATCACAAAAACATTCCACATTTCTTCATGCATTAGCACACAGGTGTCAAATTCGCCACATCAGTCGCAACTCTTTTTGCATTGCCAGCAATGGGGTGGGCACGGCTTCGGTATGACGAAGCCGGCCTGTAGGCCGGCAGTTTGACACCCCTGTATTAGCAAAATACAGTGACCCTCAAAACAATAAGTGCATTTTTCACTACTAAATGTATTTAGAAAAATATGTGCACGTGATTAACACTGAAGATTGATAACAAGGATAATTTGCATTTCACCGCATGCACACTCGGTTGCACTAATTTCAGGGGAACAATGACGTGCCATTGCTATGTAATAATATAGCCAAATAAGAACCACTAAGAAAGAGAACGGCTGATTTAGCTCACTTCTGACACTAGGCAATGAAAGTTATAGAGATTGCAACCCAGAACTCTGTAAAAAGAGAACTTCTTTCTACTTTCTTATTAAACATGACATAGTATCACAATTGTTTTCTATGCTCAGTTCACATTCCAGAAAGGTTAATCCCATTGTGATAAGGCCTTTATAAAGGAGTTATAAAATAAAGCTACAAACTCTTCCCCCTTCCTCCTCCCCCTATGCAGACAGCTTTTCCTATTTCCTTCTACTGTTCCTGCTCCCTTCACCACTTGTGTATGTAAACTGGACCAGGCCCGGACTAATGCACAAACCAAACATTTATTAAACATATGCCACTCATCTGGTCTAGAGGTAAACGTGGCTATATTTTCAATGCCAAGATAGCCTTTTTAATCCTATTCACAAGGAGAAAAATAAAATAAAGTCCTCTCCTAAAAGTTCATCTAGGAAGCAGGTGAACACCCCCCCCCAAAAAAACCCACATTCTAATCAAGTATGTATACAATTATCTCAACATTCCATCCTTTCGCTAGTGGAATACTTAGCAGTTTTGCCTTACAGTAGAAAAATACATTTTCCTTTGTTTAAACGCTTATTTCACATGTGATCATAAATGAGGTCTTTTAGATTTCTCACCCCTCCACCCCAAAATGTATAAAAATATGTCATTCTATTGTTCAGAGTCCCTCTCTCTTGCAAAGCAGGCACCCAATGATCATTGAATAAAGCTTGACCATTTCTCCTCATTCATTGTGCTCCTTCCTTCAGTGGAAATCCAACAACATTGCCAATGCAGGAATCTCGCTCTGCAGCTTTAGGGGAATTACTTACAGGCCTTCGTGAAGTCAAAGGTGTTGATCCAAGACCTGGGCTAGCTACTTCATCATAGATGCTTCTAACTGGAGGAGCACCACCTTTATCTTTGTGTGTTGGCACTACTGGTTGTAAAGGAGACCCACCTAAGTAAACATATAATATTAGAACTAGTTAGTATGCAGTTTTCTGTAATCCTTACTATCTTTTTTGTGATTAAAGTGATTACTAATAAAGGAGACTATTTGTAGGTCAGGGCTGACATGAGGGATCCTTGGTGCTCTCTGAGCTTGCTTGTTTTCTTGCAGACATTTCATTACCCAAGCTAGGTAACATCATCACCAAGCACCAGCTTGAGTAATGAAACATCTGCAAGAAAACAAGCGAGGTCAGAGAGCATCTAGGACCCTCATTAAAGTGATTATTATGAATTTAAAAATCCTGTACATGAATAAAGCTGCATAACTGTTTTTGAACCTTGTCAAAAATTAAAGGCTGGAACTCTGGAAACCATCAAAACATTGCTAATCATGGTTACATAAGTAGTCCTAGGGGAGATATGGACAGTATCACTGTGCTCCAAAACAAATTCATTCTAAGGGGAAAAAAATCTGAATTACAATTGTGTGAATTGCATTTGTAATTATAAATCCTAAGTATTTTGCTGTACCCTCAGGGAAGAACATTATGTATGCAGCACTTATGATTTTTTAAAATGCAGTGTTTGGGAAATTCAGTAACATATGAATGTCAGTCAAGTTGAACAGTTAAAAAACGTCTTTCAAGCGATCCACCCTAGAAGATACTTGAAATGCAGTACACATGCTAAAATTAAAATTAAAAAATTAAAATCTTTTGCCATGCTAAAATTAGCTTGCTTCCTATTTTTTTTTTAAAAAAAAAAAAGTTAGCAAAGACCTGTTCTTAGCAAACACCCCTATCTCAAGTAACACCCACACTTCAATACTGTTCTAGGATATTCTTGGTGAATTTTTGCCATTTGGGGCTACTAGAAAAGTATTTTAATTCAGAACCAGCTTACCAGCAAGCATTGGTGACCTCATTTCCATTACACCAAGTGAAGGACCACTTAAAGAGCGAGTCTGCGGCGTCACCGGAGTTGGCAAATCACCCATCAGAAATCCAGGCAGAAATTGAGCACCAGCACCTGGTTTTGGTGAAGAAGGGGATCCTAATGCCATTGGCTCAGCACCTGCATTACAAAAGGTGGTTCACATAAGAATTACATTCAGCCTCTGTCAAAGACACTACAGTAGCTGGTTGCTCATTCCAAGACCTTAAAACAAAAGAAACAAAACTAAAGCTTTCCTGTTGAATACAACTGCCCTGGTTAAGCATTACCTTCTTTGCAACCACCATAAAGGGAGTCCTTGACTTACAACAGTTCATTTCAGTGACCCTTCAAAGTTACAACGGCATTATGGACTTGGTTATTTATATAGTTGGTTAATGTTAGTTAGATTATGATTATTATATTTGTAACCCTGTATTCAGCTCTGG